CCAGGGGTCCTCAAACTACGGCCCTCGGGCCATATGCAAATACAAATATTGTATTTGTTCCCGTTTTGTTTTTTTTTACTTCAAAATAAGATATGTGCAGTGTGCATAGGAATTTGTTCATAGTTTTTTTTTAAACTATAGTCCGGCCCTCCAACGGTCTGAGGGACAGTGAACTGGCCCCCTGTTTAAAAAGTTTGAGGACCCCTGTCTCGTAGTGTTAAGTGTAGCATTCAAGGAAGTCTTTTGTTAGATTTATTTCTAAGTATATTATGTTTTTGGTATCATTATAAATAGAATTAAAATTTTTAATTTCACTTTCTAGTTCAGGATTAAGACTAAGAGAGCTCTAATATTTTTTAGGACTGAATCATTTATGCCTAAGAGAAAAATCAGGCAATAGAAAAAGACCCATAGATGATCCTGATACTGGAGTTAGCAGACAAGGACTTCAGGATAACTATGATTACTATGATCAAGATAATAGAGGAAAAGATAGAGAACATAGATAACACTACTGTTGGCAGATAACTCTTAATGATATTTTATTTTTCAGTTTTATATTTTTTATTTTCAGTTTTATAATTTTCATTTGGTTCTTTTCATGCAGTCCAATTCTATATGGAGATTTTTTGTTGTTGTTAATCCTCAACCGTGGATTTTTTTTTCATTAATTTTTAAACAGTGGAAGGGAGGGAGGGAGAGGAGGGAGGGGAGAGAGGCGAGAAAGGGATGGAGGAGAGAGAGAGATAGAGAGAGACAGAGAGACAGACAGACACAGACAGACAGACATGATGTGAGAAAGACACATTGCTTGGTTGCCTCCCTCACATGCCCTGAATGAGGCCGAGTATTGAACCTGCAACCCAGGTATGTGCCCTTGACCAGGAATTGAACCCACAACCCTTTGGTGTGTGGTGGACTTTCCAAACACTAAGCCACACCAGCCAGGGCTGTGTGGACATTTTTATCTTGTCTCTTTTCTTACCTTTTTCATTATTTCACAGGTGCACAGGAAAAGAATGTGTGTTCTCCAGTTGTTGAGTGTGGTGTTCTATATATAGTTTGTTCAGAACTTGACATGCTTGTTGATTTTCTTGCCTACTTATTCTATTGGGATAAGGGACTCGAGTTTTGGTAATGTTTTATATCCTGATCTGTGAGCTGGTGTGGCTATATAGGTATGTTCATTTAGGGAAAATTTATTGAGCTGTACTTTTATAATTTGTGTACTTTATCTATGTATATTATACTTCAATAAGACATCTTTTAACATGTCCCAAAGACCATTTCCTTTCTTCTCAGTCTTTTTAAAGAAAAACATTTTGCTCTGCCAGGGTGGCTCAATGGTTGAGCATCAGCCCATGAACCACAAAGTCACTGGTTCGATTCCCGGTCAGGGCACATGCCTGAGTTGCGGGCTTGGGGTGTGCAGGAGGCAGCCAGCCAATTGATGTTTCTATCTCTCTATCACTCTCCCTTCTCCTCTCTCTAAAATAAATAAAAACATATTTGAAAAAAAACAAAAAGCACTATTTTTCTATTTACCAATCAGAAATGGAAATGACTAATAGTAACAAATATTTTGCTAATGAGAATCAGTAAATACATCTTAGAAAATAAAGGCTCATTCCCATAATGTTACTAAACTCCTTGTTTTAGCTTAACAAGTCCCCAAAAGCATAATTCTGGAGATGTAAGAAAACACACAAAACACAAATCTGAAAGAAACTGGAGACACTAATTTGGGAAAAAAATTACTTTTTAAAGGAATTTTTATAAACAATATTTGTATGTCTGGAACTTAGAGTAATTTCTCATTAGAACATTTTCTAAATCTATGCTTACCTTTAATGCTCAGATACTATTTTAATAATAGGAACAATTAGAGAAAGAGAAGCAACAAGAGGGAAGGCCCGTGAATGAAAAAACCTTTGAAAAGAAACGTAAGTTGTTTTCTTATGTCTTCATCACTAAATCACACGATTAATATTTCATCCTGGCATTCTGAAAGACCATGTTGAGTTACTAATTTTACATGGAAAATTGCTGTTAATTTTAAAAGTAGCTTTACAAAACTGGCTGCTTAATGTTGTATGGATGTTAAGAATACATGAATAAGTGGTGGGGATCAGTGTGGAGCTTCAGATCCTTCAAAGGAAAGTGATAGCAGCAATAAGAATGTGAAATTAATCACTGAATAACTAAGATCGAAATGTGTAAATATGCAGAGTAAGACTATGTGGGAAAGAATGCTGCTTAGCAAGGGATAGTGTTTCATTTTTTCTGTGTTGTCTGTATGTTTGTGGAGATTAATAAGAACCCAGAGGGCATGACAGCACTCAAAGCAGAGTTTATTTTAGGCAGAGACATCAAGACACCAACAGCTCTGCCCAAGAGCATCCCCATCGCTGTTCCTGGGCCCTCTCCCAGCGCCCCGTCAACAAGTAAGAGACAGCCTCTTATGCCTCCTGTTTCCTTTTATAAACAGTAATTACAGGGCAAGTCACTCTCCTAGGTGAGATACATTGTGCTAAAGCACCGTTTTCCTTTTAGTGTTTGTTTTTGTAGTTCTTATTGGACAGTTGGGATAAAGATAGCCCAATAGCTCAAACTAAGGAAAGGAAGCTAGCCCATCTGTGTTTACTGAAAACGGTGGGAGTGGGAGAGGGAACGGGTGTGGGGCATCTAAAGGTGAAGTGAACAATTACTTTTTCTTTCTGCTTGTTACTCTAGGCAAAGAAATCAAGAAATCCAAATTGATTCGAAGCCAGTCTATTAATAATCAAGCTTTTCATGCAAAATATGGCAACTTAGACAAGTGTGCTAGGTATGATCTGTCAGTTCTTCATGTTTGAATTTTTATTTTATAGTTATATCTTATTATATGTGAAATATTTACATTACTATAAAAATTAGCACTAATTTTGAGTTTTCTAAAGGCAAATAATTTTTTTCTCCTGTAAAGACTGTTAAAAAAAATAGTAGTCTACCAATTTGCATAAAAATATGTACTGGTATTCTAGGAAGACTACAGCCATGACAATATATAATGCCTTGCCCTGGCCAGTTAGTTCAGTGGTTAGCATCAGTCTACACACTGAAGGGTTGAGGGTTCAATTCCCGGCCAAGGGCACATAATTATTGTGAGGCATGGAATAGAAAGAATAAATGAGAAATAGAAGTAACAAGCATGTTTCATAGGAAATAGGGGGAAGCATTTAAAAAAAGATTTAAAAAGACCAAATGCTGGATGAATGGGATTGAAATAAACATGTTCTTGCATTTGAAACGTAATTATGTTCTTTTCCAGTAAAACTTCTACAGCAGCATATACACCTTCTGTCTCAGGGTTAGCAAAGACTTCTATGATTTCACTAACTGGTAAGTAGAAATCTGAGCTCCTCAAAGCATTGCTAAATTCAATGAAATATGATTTTCCTTAGATAAGTTTTTTATTTCTAGATACAGTGTTTTTTCTAAATTTGTATCTTTATCAAATACCTATGAATTTTTTTTCTAGCAATTGAGAAAATACTTGACTATACTATTTTGTTCTCACTGTATCAAGACTTAAGAGTTCTTTTAAAAGAGAAACAGGACAAAATGATAGGATAGGTTATGCCATGGTCTGAGGACCCGCTGGAGGCAGAGAGTAAAATTTTTTGCAGTAATTAACTTAGTTAAAACACTAGGGCTTTCCTATAGATAATATACAGCTAAACATTTGCAATAGTATATCTTTGAAACTTTATACCAGGGGTCAGAAAACTTTTTCTGTTAGGAGGCCAGAGAGTCAATAGTTAGGCATAAGAGGCAAATTGGTTTCTGTCACGAGGACTCAACTGTGCCCTTGTGGGTAAAAGTAGCCATAGATGGCACATGAATGGGTGGCTGTGTCCCACTAAGACTACTCACAGTGAGAGCTCCTCTCAGCGAAGGGCTCACAGTGTCGAGTGTGCGGGGACGTGGGCAGCGCTCCAGCCCCCTCAGACACTGCTGGGGCCGCCACAGGGTGCAGTTCCTTCGGACAACACCTTCCTGTGTGACCCAGCAATTCCACTCCTAGGCTTTGACTGAAGAGAAATCAACACCTACATCTCCACACAGATTTGTACATGATTGTTTAGAGCAGCTTTATTCATAGTCAAAAACGGGGGGAAAATCCAAATGTCTAGCAATAGGAGAATGGATAAACAAATTTTGACATATCCATACAATGAAATACCAGTCAGCTATAAAAAAGGAATGAAGAATCGATATACATAACAACATGGATGAACCTCAACATAATTATGCTGAATGAGAGGAGCCAGACACAAAAAGGATACATATTATCTGATTCCATTTATATAAAATTCAGAAAATGCAAACAAATCCCTAATGACAGGAGGCAGAGTGGGGGGGAACAGAAGGAGCGATTACAGGGGGCAGGAAGAAACATTTGGTAGTGATGCAGTTTATTATAAACTGTACTCTAATAAATTGACTTTAAAAGAAAAAATGTCCGCTACCAGTAAGCTTTCTTCCCCTAGGTTCCCATCTTAGTAAATGGAATATGTCTGACTATGCATGTGTTCCTTTCAGATGACTCATTCCGGACTCGTAATGCCAGTAGTCTTCCGCCGTCCTTTTCTCCTAACACTCCCCTCCCCAGCACCTCCCGTGGGACAGGTAACTCAGTTGATCCAAAGAGCAGTGGAGGTAAAGATCCGCCACCACGTAAGGCCACCTTGTAAGTAATCAGCGATGTACTGCTAAGTGTGTCATCCTCCTCTTTTTCTCAGTGCACTTTCCTTCCCACTAATTTCCAAAGAACAGAAACTGTAACAAGGAAATGTTCTAAATTAAAAGGGATTCTTAGCACACGTGCCTCTGTTATGTTGATACTTTATATAAAATGATCTGTCTATGGCAAAGACACGGCAACGTAAGGAAATCAACAAGAGACTTTAAATGGCTCCCACTAATATCTGAGATTTTAAAAATTTTCTGTGAAATGTTTGCCTTCAGGGACTTAATTCAAGAAGACACTGGTGTAATTGCATCCCTTGGAATGGCTAGTGTAAGCGGACAGTGTTTCATGGCCCCGAGCTCAGAAAGATGGGCCCGGCTGCTACTTAAGCAATCTGCCTGCAGCATGGAGTCCAGAGTGTGGGTCAGCATGTGGGAGAGTCCTCCCCACTGTACTTGTCCTTAACATTGAGGTTATAAAGGCCTGTCTCCTCCTTTCCCCCAGGGTTACTTTTATGTGCTGTTACTTTTATGTCTGTGTGAATCACTGAAGCCTTTGTTTCTGTTAGTTTAAATGTGGAAGAGGGTTGCCCCATAAGAACCATCCTGATGACAGACAGGTCATGTCACGTGGATGTGATTCGTCCAGGCTGCCCCAACTCTACTCACAGGTTTACTCTTTCCTACAGGACGCCCGAATCTTCTGATTAAATCAGAATTTAAACAGCATCCAGATGTCCTTTTAGACATATGTCACTGAATTCATGAATATTCTAATAAAGTTTCTGACATCCATCTTTTATTGGGAACTCCATGCTTTTAGGAACTGAACTATATTTTAACTTACTCTAAATTTTTAATTGCCCACCGGTATATATAAATATAGATGTATGTAAGATTCATTCAAACTTATGGAAAGGAGCTCAAGGAAAGAGTAGGATCATGTATCATAGAAAAAAGTAATAGGAAACAGAAAAAAATGATATTGAGATTACAAATTAGTAACGTTAATATAGAGGATAGTTTTATTTACAGAGAATGCTCTTTGGAACAGTTGCTCTAAGGATTATACTGTGGTTGATCCATTTAAAAGTCATGAGGACTGAGCCAGAAGAGGGTCATGTCTGCAGAGAGCACGGAGCTGGAGCCTGTGCCTGCTCCAGGGCAGCTAAGCAGCTGTGGACGTTCCGCTCAGTGCTCTGGGCCTCATGTCTCGTCGGTAAAATGACAGGGTTGCCTCTGGTTTACCTGCCACGGTGCCTTCCTTTTCTGGCCTCCTGTGATCCGTCCTCTCGATCACTCTTGACCTTCCTCCTTTCAAAGATTGCCCAGAATTCTTCTAGTGAAGAACACAATTACATCAGCATATAATTCATTCTCTTCTCAACTATTTTTCTAAATGCCACAGGCATTTTAAAAAAATAAAGACCATTGAAACTTCATATCAACTCTCCTTTATTTCAGATTACTTTTTTTATCTGTTCTTTCATTGTTGAGCATGTTTTTCCTATTCATAGACCGAATTTTCTCCTGCTCAATATATAAAGTATAATTACATTATATAAAGTATAATTACATAAATTATATAATCAATTAGATATGTAATTGTTTAAAAAATGAATCTAGAAACACTCTGCTAACAAATCACATCATTTGTTTCTCCTGCTCTGAATGTTCTGAAGGAGGAGGAATATTGGTATCACAGCTGCTTTTTTAACGTGTGACTGGATCTACGAGTCCATAATCGTACCTCCAGCTAATGTGCTTCTCATTTGGACTTTCTCACGAATGCACACTGCCCATAACCGGAACAGGGTCCATGTGGTTATGTTTCCTTATGCTTCTGTGAAGTATTACCTATAGTTCCGCACCATGCTATATCCCAATGAAACATATCCTTTATACTTAAAATAAGCCTAGGAAATAATTTCATAATATATTAATATCTGTTTTCCTGCTCAACAAAATTCTATACAATACCTTCTCCAACTTTTTAGTATCACACAGATGACACACAGTCTGGTAGGTAGGAATATAGATGTCTTAAAGGATGTATGGGAATGCATTGTATCTTAAATCTTTTAAAGCCAGATAATTGATATACTAGTATTTAAGCTGAATTTCTGTTATGGTTATACGAAAAAAAAAAGTAAGGAAAGTTGTATGAATTGAATTGAATGCTATTTTAGGGGCGTACAGGATTTGGTAATTAAAGGTAATTCCAAGTAATACTTAATATGCAATTTATTTTTCACTAACTCAGAATTCTCATAGTAGATTCTATCTATATTTATTTACTTTTAAAGCATTATATGGATAAAATTTTTCATGTTTTGTTTTCTCCTTTCTTCTATCTTTCCCTTTCCTTTCTTCCTCCCTCACCTCTCCCTCCATCCATCCTTTCTTCCCTTCCTCTTTCTTTTCCTCCCCCCTCTCTTTTTCTCATCCTTTTTGACAAAGAAAATCCAGAAAATCCAATCCTTAAATCATCTGCTTGATGAAGGAAGCAAAACAAAGACACCTGGAGATAATGTGATTGATGGACAAAAGCTAAAGCAATGGCTGGGGCTCCTTTTTTTTTTTTAATTAATGGAAAAGAGATACATTAGGGCAGCTGATGTTGCTAAAAGCCCCATATTTGAAATTAGATTCTGTAGGAGGCATAATATATATATTTCTTAAATAATAATGTGGTTGCAGAATTCCAATGTTACAGTGAAGTGTAATGAAAAACAACTTTAGTATGTGCTTTAACAACTGCTGCAGAAGAGACACCGCTGAATTTATTTGTGCAGGAAACCATCTGTTTACTTGTTCTAGAGCTTTAGCATTTAAAAACTATATGAAAGCCCACATCAATTGCAAATGCCCTGCTAGAGAATCACTTGGAGGGGGGCCTGGGAGTAAATAAGAAAGACATTGTTTCTCACGAATCTCCAAGCCCAACAACCACACTGAAAAGGGTACAAACAGCAGTCCACAATGTTATCAGTCTGATTGTGGTGACAATATGGTGTACCCGGATATTCTGAAACTTAAATTTGGCGGTGAAAATTCCACAGAGATTTCTGATAACTTTTAGCCACAATTACCTTAAAAATAATAGATTCATGATTTCCTTTATTTCCTAGAAAATTTTATTTTATACTTTGTTTACATTTTAGATTGTATTTGTCCTTAATTAAAAATGATGAATCTAGTTTGAATAAGCTGTTACTCTGAGCTATCATGCTTATGCTATGTCAACAGCCTTTATTTATACTAATGCTAATATTTCCATCACAGTTTGCCTGTAGAACATGTACGATTATTAATTTTAAAATGTCAGATCTTGATATATACTGTATGAAGCTATTGTCAGCTTCTCTATTACAAAATGCAATCAGCATATAACTATACTGATATTAGAAAATCTTTGTTTTTTAAAATATATTGATGTATGATAAAGATGATCTAATTTGTGAATGCATATGCGTGTGTGGTTACTTTTTATAATGTGAAATAATGAATAGTGAATTTACTTAAAATAAAGCATAGGTTAATGAGATACCTGTGTTTGTGAAAAAAGTTTTAAATACTTTTTTGCAATTTTTATTCTCTAATGAAAGAGTAAGACAGTTCACTTTTAAATGATGAGTAACAGAAGCACGCTGACCTCAACTGTAAATGACTCAGGAACAGCTACTCGTGTGAAACTTACACTCAGTTTCTCTCCACCTTTCCTTACAATTGGCTCTTGTTGGCGATTTTTATGATTCTTAATATGTTTCATTTAAGGATAGGTTAATGGAATTGTTCAACCCATTTGAGAAGCTTGACCATGTGGCTAATTTAGTACTTTCCTTATGGATTTCATTGAACTATTTTAATGATGTCTCCGACCAGCACACCGACATGCACTTTAACACATTGTGATCTGGGAGAGTCTGTGGTGCGTGAGTGGGACATCAGAGTGACAGCAGTTTCCCAGCACTGTGATTCATAATCAGCATGGACTCTGTCACTTTAAATAAAATGGAGAATTCCAGTTTGTTTGTTTACTAATACATTTAGCAGAGTTAGGAACCTTTATTTCCTTTACGCGTGTGAGAGAAGAGGAGAGCGACTCGACAGAGAAAAGTCACTACAGCTCCTACAATCCAGGGGTGTATAGAGGTCAGTGCGGTCTCACTGCAAGGCACTAAGCCAGTGATGGCGAACCTATGACACGCGTGTCAGAGATGACACGCGAACTCATTTTTTTGGTTGACTTTTCTTTTGGCATTTAAATATATAAAATAAATATCAAAAATATAAGTCTTTGTTTTACTATGGTTGCAAATATCAAAAAATTTCTATATGTGACACGGCACCAGAGTTAAGTTAGGGTTTTTCAAAATGCTGACACGCCGAGCTCAAAAGGTTCACCATCACTGCACTAAGCAATCAAGTCACACAGTCAATCAAAATTATGCTACCAGAGTTAACTTAGGGTTTTTCAAAATGCTGATACAGAGTTAAGTTAGGGTTTTTCAAAATGCTGATACGCCGAGCTCAAAAGGTTCACCATCACTGCACTAAGCAATCAAGTCACACAGTCAATCAAAATTATGCTCAGAAGTTTAAAACCGTTGAAATATTTTAAAAAATTATATATATTTCTAAAACCAGATATATAAAATCAGAGTAAAACACAAATTGCTGACAGTTATGACCATCCACACATACTTAGATTCACACCGAAACGAGACTGATACTCTTGTAAAAGTCCTTGGCGTAGCAACTTATCAGGTAGTTCCTGCAGACTAGCTGTGGGAAAGAAAGATCTCCTCCACCTAACTGCAGAGAAGTAGGGACATCACCGTCAGCTGTTTGTTAATTATGGAAACTTGCATTTTAAGGACAGGTTCTAGAACAGTGGTTCCCAAACTTATTTGGCCTACCGCCCCCTTTCCAGAAAAAATATTACTCAGCCCCCCCTGGAAATTAATTTTTTTTAAAATTTTAATAGCAATTAAACAGAAAGATATATGTATTAATGTTTCTACCTTTTTCGTAAAATATAGTAAAGAAAGGTGTAAATTAGAAACATTGAAGTTTGAAATTATGAAACTATTTATTGAACTCAGAATAGAAAGGTAATACAAAAAAAGTTAAAACAAATGCACCTGTGGCCATCACCGCCGCCCTGGATCGCTGCAGCGCCCACCAGGGGGCGGTAGCGCCCACTTTGGGAATCACTGTTCTAGAACAGTGGTTCTCAACCTTCTGGCCCTTTAAATACAGTTCCTCATGTTGTGACCCAACCATAAAATTATTTTCGTTGCTACTTCTTAACTGTAATGTTGCTACTGTTATGAATCATAATGTAAATATCTGATATGCAGGATGGTCTTGGGCGACCCCTGCGAAAGGGTCGTTCGACCGTCAAAGGGGTCATGACCCACAGGTTGAGAACCGCTATTCTAGAATTTCACAGGTCAGCACTGCAAGCAAAAACAGACCTGTAGAGCTCAATTTTACTGACAGAAATGGAGATAGGGCTTAAATGGATTTTACTTCATAGCGGTAGAATAAGGGGCATATAAAAATATTCTTCCACAACCTCATACGCATCTGAAAATCATTTCCATTATTTGACTTGCTGAGCTCAGACCCCTTCCTCTGGAAGGGACGGCTCCATTTTGCCTTGTGGTTAGTAGGCAAACATGAAATATTTGAACCAAAATGAACAGGCAATTCAGCTTGAGGAGGAGTTTCACAGTGAAGATAAATGAATTAGATTAATTCAATACTCTGTTCTCATTATTATAGCCTGTGTGAGAGACTGTGGGTATGGGGGTGTCTGTAGGAACAGTTTTAAAAACCTGACACTTAACATTGTTGTAATGTTCAGGTTCTCCCCTCAGTTGAAAACTTGAATTTTTTGTATCATTGACTGCACTTTTCACTGGTCTGCCTCAGAGAGCAACGTGCTGGTGACATTCGTTATGCCGCATCGTTTGCGGTGCTCGTGGGGAGGTGAGGGAGTTTGCTCTGCATGTTATATGAACCCTTCGATGGCAATGAACCTTTCCATAACTGGCCTTGGCCATATTTCTGTTAGAGGATATTATGTTTTCATAGACTTCCCCCCCTAAGTTTCATCTCTAAAAGTAGGTAATTTGATTGAACCCTCTTTTATTTCTCTTCCTAGTATCTTCCCACAAATAAACCTGGTTAACTGAATACTAACAGATCACTGAGGAATGCCAGGTGGAGTTAGTCCTATATTTTGTGTCTCTTTCTAGGCCCTGGAATTGCCCTGCCCTTACCAACTGTCACGTGGTGCCCTTGGAAGGAGTACACAGTGAATCCATGTCCAGATTTTAGAATGATGAAAAGTCAATCTTCAAACTGTAGCCTAATATTACTACCTGTTCACATTAATATGACACACAATACTCTGATTTAAATTAATAGTTAAGATGACTAATCAAAAAATTAATTTTAGGTATAAAATCGATAGCAAACAGATAGAAATCCAATTAGGCATTTAATTAACACAGTTGACCCTCCAAGATGAGTTAGCCCTAGTCACGAGTCTCAGAATTTACTCCTAAAATACTTTCTTGTCTCTGTAACAGAAAGTGACCGCTCTAGAGCATCGGGGATTTGCTGTTTTCCTGTTGGCCTTGGCGCGGGCCAGGCTTCTCTTCATTTAAGCGCAGCGGCTGACTGAGCAGCGAGCCCACGCGGCCTGTTCCGCTGGACCTCACCAGGTGGTTTAGGTGGAAAGAAGGAAAAGAGAAATAGGCGTGGGGCCACTGGGTAACCGTGGCAAGCATTTGCTTTCCTCTGCCACGTCCTGCGACACATCCATTAGGTGCAGTAGGCACAGTGCCGAAGGCCCAGGATACCTTTTGGGGCTCATGAATGTTTTACTTTTTGCAATCAGCAAGTTACATACTTTACCTGCATTGGTATAAAGACAAACACAGTGCATAATATATTCATTATTATACCAATGCCGTCATAAAATCTAATTTTTAATATACATATCTATTTTTTGATGTCGGAAAGACCCAAGAGTGCCTGGGGCCCTTGAAAGTCATAATGTGGCCCTGTGTCTGGTTCCCCATCCCCGTCCTTTGTAAAATGAAGGTATTGAACGGGGTGACCTGCGGCTCAGCGAATGCCTCTGCCAAGTGAAGTGATGCATCTCTCACCTGCCTGGAGGAAATGGCCGCACTGATCAGACGCTGGGATCAGGACAGGTTAATATATTTGTATTGATGTCAGAGAGGAAGGGAGAGGGATAGAAACATCAATGATGAGAGAGAATCACTGATTGGCTGCCTCCTGCACACCCCTACTGGGGATCGAGCCCGCAACCCGGGCATGTGCCCTGACCGGGAATCAAACCATGACCTCCCCGTTCATAGGTTGATATTCAACCATTGAGCCACAGAGCTGGGCTGTTTTTCTAATTTTAGTCAGCAAGAAATGGTTCTACAGCAGATGACAAGAAAATGCTTATTTTGCACCAGAGGGAAGTAGAGAGTGAAGCACGTGACTCATGGAGAATGTGTCTGAGTCTTCCTCCCAAAGGCTCATCTGGAGAGTGTCCAGGTATGTGAGTGACAGGAGGGCAAAGGCATTCTACCAAGCTCGCTCTGGTCAGCAGCAAAGGCTCTTAGTCGCAGCTGCACGTACCGAACGGGTTGTGCAAACCTCACCTGAAAATAAGTTTGACTTGAACACTCGGATTTCTCTAAGAGTGGCTCAAACCAGCAGCAGAGGGAGCCATCCTTCCTGCCACCCAGCACCAGTGCCCGCGCGGGTGCCCGTACCTCAGGCAGGTCGGCATCCGCTGGGCACCGCGTCCTCATGCTTGTCGTCAATCACAGGAGGGTTGGGTTTACCACCCTGCCCAGAAATAGGGGCACCCTCCAGGTTTCTTCATAGATCAGGAAATGAAACGGCCGGTTCACTTTGATGATGGGAGGCATGGAATAAGCTATAATTTCCGACAGGGTTCCTGCCGCTGCCTCAGTTCCTTTTTCATCCACCTCAATCACTGCTCTTTGTAGAACCTGGAAAAGGAAGTCATATGGAAGACCGTGTGGGTGGCAGTGAAGAGGAGGGAACTGAGCCCCTCGACAGCTTTTGCTGTGGTCCTACCTACAGGGCCACGCCCCTGGGAATGAGTGGGATGGGGCTCCTCTGTGCTGAGGGGAGGCGTCTGAGGTTGCCCAGGGACTTGCCTTAGAAGCTCAAATACCAGGAGACACCAGGACCCCAAATGGGAAACACTGGCCAACCCCTGCACGCATGCGTCAGATCAGCGCGGCCTCCGTGCTGCTGATCCTTGGGCACAGCTGGTGCTCCTCGGGAAGGTGCTCACGCTGCCTGGAGCCCCGAACACTCTGGCCTTCCCTCCGGCGGGCCAGCTGGGTGAGGGTGTGGCTAGTCTGCGGCAGCTTCCCAGCACCTGGTGCGGCTCTGAGTCCTGGGCAAGTGCTGGGGTCCCCGAGGACTTCTTGGACTCTGGTTGCCTGTACTCAGGCCACCTGTCCTGGCTGGGAGGC